TGCGGCCTGCCAAGCCATTTTCTGAGGCCTGAGGTGCTATGACGGGAAACGAAAGTAAACACTGTACTTTCGTTTTGGGGGGGTGATGTGATACCGCTTCCTGTGAGGTCTTTGAATATGGCTCGCCGGCCCACTGGGCGATAAAAAGTTCATGATCCAGCCCCACGTTCAAAAAGGTTGGACACCCCTGCAATAGAGCACTAAACTGCAGGTTTTTATTCACTCATATCATACCACTTTCTCTCACCAATAGTTCTGGGTAAAGGTCTTGTCCATTAATGTCAATCACAGGTTTTCCAATCACTTCACTCTCTCTTGATGCATTCCCCTGTCGCTCGATCCAGTCGCTCATCTTTACTTCAGACTCCAATCACACTTTTCACGCCACATACTCCGACCCTTTTGCTCATGCCCATGCTGTCCTAAGTAGGGCGGCAGGCCAGAAGATCACATACTTCTGGACAGAGGTGCCAAGTACTTGGGCCCAGGCCTCCCTAGGGAAGAGGGCTGTCACCTGAAATGTGTAAAACTTTCCATGTGTCCATCATCTTAGGCTGCCCCCAGCAAAAGTAAAAGTCAGCGCCTATGCTTATGGAGGCTTCTGCTGGTAACAGTAACTGACACCAGAGCCGGAGGGTGCAGCATGCTGGTGGCCAGGTTGAGACACTAATGCCAGATACATCTTCAGTTTCCCCCAGGAACCTCCCCTGCTCCTCTGGAGGGACAAGCTTTGAGAACAGGCTGTCCCCACCAAATGGGGAATGTGGTCACTCCACGGAGAGGCCCCAGCCCCACAGGTGGCTTCTCCACAGGAGATCTTTGGGAGAGAGACATGGGCCCTCTAATCTGAGGACTGTCAGTGTGAATCATCTCCTGCAGCCAGGAGCCCTTCTGCCTGGCATTCGGGGCCACCATCCAGTTCTTTCTGTGCAAAAGCAAAAATTGTGGGCAGAACAGACTGACATCAACAATGTCTGGCCACATGAAGCAGACACCTGGGGGTCCTATACATGTGCAGGGAGGCTGCTGTGACGTGCTGTAATTACAGCACGTCAAAGCAGACTCAATTAATCGGGTCTGTGGAAAGTTAATCTGCTGGACTCAATTAATCGAGTCTGCTGGAACACTCCAGGGGACCTTACAAACGTGCTCCAGGAGGTCGGGGGCGGGGGGACACCTTAATTAGCACAGCTCAGAGCCATGCTAATGAAAAACTCTTGGAGCATCACATGTATCAGCATCCACACAATGAAAAATGGTAGTGGGGCACTTTGAACTAAAGCTCATTGAACCAGCTTTAATTTAAAGCACCTTGCCACCATTTTTCAGCCCAGGGATGCTGATTCATATGATGCTGGAGTGCAATAACTCCCACACTCCAGCAGACTCAATTAATCAAATCTGCCGACATGCTGTAATTGCAGCATATCGGAGCAGCCTACCTGCACATATATTGGAACCCCAGCAGACACCAGCGGTACATGTATCAGCATCCCTGCACTGAAAAATGGCAGCAGGGTGCTTCAAACTAAAGCTGGTTCAATGAGTTTTAGTTCAAACCATCCTGCTGCCATTTTTCAGGGCAGCGATATTGATACATGTTGACACTCTGGACACTTTTAATTAGCACCCCCGACCGGTGGGTGCTAATTAAAAGCACCTGCCCACCTCCCAGAGCACATCAATAAATGCCCCTGGTTCCTGAGGTCTGTTTCCCCAGGTTGTTAAAATTTTCACTTCACTGATAACTACAGTTTGCAAATAGCAAGGGAGAAAAAAACAGCTGCTTGGGATTTGGACCCTGCTTAGCTCACTGGGCTGCCCCTGAGCTCAGCCATTCTGCGGTGCCAAGAATGAGCTGATGAACAAAATAGTTCCAAGGAGTCGCTCTCCAGATCCTTGGCTCTTCCAGTGACTGGCAGGCAGGGCAAACAGATTTTTCTCATCTTAAAGCAGGCAGGCTGAGGTCTCTGGGAGAGCCCAGTGTAGCCCAATACTAGGGCTGTGCGACGCTTTGGGAGGTAATTCAATTTGGAGGACATTCAGTCCGATTCGGTGGCCGAATCTCTGAATCCGAATTGAATCAGGGGACCAATTAAAAGGTCCGAATTGATATGGAGAGCTTTGATGATTTGGGCAGTCCCCAGTGGCTGCAGCAGGGAGCTGCAGCTGACTCAGAGCTGGTAAGTACCTCCCCCAGTCCCGACAACCTCTCCCCCTACCCCCCTGTTCCAGCCCCCCACAGGTGCCCCGCCTACTCCAGCTACCCGCCCTTTAAGAAAAAAAGAAAACCGAGACAACCCCGGGACTCTCCGCTCCTGCAGTGGCCTCAGGGCTTCGGGGTGCTCATGCAGAGGCCCCCATGTGGTGGGGGGCAGTGAGACTCACCCCCTGCCAGGCAGGAACAGTGAGTCCAGGGTTTTTTCATTTGTTTTTTTCTCTTAAAGGGCTAGAGCTGGGGCCGGTGGGGGTGTCTGGGGGCTCATGCAGAGCCCCCGACACAGCATGGGGCAGTAGAGGGCAACAGGGATCGTCCCCCAGCCAGCAGCACCCAGTGAGCTGGGGCTTTTTTTTCCAAAGAGCCGGGAGCTGGGGCAGCCGTTGCTGGACTGGGGAGATGAGCCTGGGTGATTCAAAGATTCGGAGATTCAGCAGCAGCCGAATCTCCAAATCAGATTCAGCCAGATCGATTCAGGACAGTGGTTCAAATCACTGAATCAAATCACTGTCCCCCGAATTGGCCAAATCCAAAGCGAATACCAGCCGCTTCACGCAGGCCTACCCGATACCCTAATAGTGAAATTTCCTTGAAGATTTTTTTTTATATTGCCTATAACTATTGCTAGTGCCAAATGCAGCTTCAGTAAATTAAAATTAGTTAAAAACTACCTAAAGTCTACAAAGGGACAAGAAAGGGTATCTAATCTATTCCCTAACTGACAGGCTTGCTACGTGAAAGGCAAGAAAAATTAATATTTAAATAAGATGTCT